CACACGCATTCGAAGTCGCAGAGAAAAATTAAAGAAAAAGTGGAAGCCGTTTACAACTCCCTGTAACACCGATTTAGAGCGCAGCTCTTGAGGAGGAGGAGGGAAAGGTACTGGGCCCGTTTGCTCGAAGCCGGTTAACTCTAACCGCGGTTAAAAGTTAACCGACCTTCCCTACTAGGTACCTACAAGTACCTAGCCAAGTTTGAAGAGGGCTGGATGAGCGATAGCTCCGTGTTTTATTATGGGGCGGTGGCTGGTGTCACCTACTGGCTGTAGCGAATATAAGTGGCTTCTGTGGAAAGGTTCCCGAAATGGGGGGACCCAAAAAATGCGCGCTGCCTGGTTTTCGCGACGCAGCGTGGCATACATTTGAGCTTAAGAAACCATTTTTATTGCTCGCGGTACAAATAATTGGCAAGGTAAAACTAAATTAACCCTTGTTTGGAAATTTTCTAAATATTTGGCTGTATGAAGTGAAGAAAAGCCTCGTTGAAATTTCCTTCCGACTTCGAAAGAGGACGACGAAGTTGAGTCCTAAAAACGATGAGAAAGAAGTGAGCAGTGAAAGGCGGGCGGTACACCGGCAGCATGGTTGGCCAGCATGTAAGAACTCATAAATTGAAAAACCTGTAACTTGGCTCCACTGAAAATTGACCTATTAAATTACCCGAACATCGAGAAGAACGCTGGAAGTGTAATTCTATGATCCGCGCGCGCTGGCCTTCCACTTATAAAAGATTTGAAGTAAATGATCATAATAAATCGTTGACGAACGCCCGTGCACGGCAACATTTGTTTTAGGCTTTTTGCTTCAGAACAGTTATTACTGCAGACGCCAGCAGGTGCAGCGCGTGTAACTACACTCGTAGCATGCACCTCGGTGCTTTTGAAATTTAGCAAGAGGTCTATGGGAACGCTCCATGCTTCTGTGTGCTATCAATACCCGGCCGATTGAGTCAAGGCAATCCACTTTCCAAAAACGTTGCCATGCCGACAACTATCGCGTTCATTTAGGCTTAGGAATGGTCAGAGTCGAAAGTCTATCTAAAAAATGCGGTGAGGTCATTGCTCATGTTTTGCGTTTTAAGTGAGGTAATGCAGCGCGAAAACCTCCTGCACCATTCATTGCTGACTAACGCGCCCGCTACTGCAGCTACTGCGACGTATTAGTTCCAAAGCGAGCGGAGCTCACTCACCGGGGCATCGCCATGTTTCCCCGCCGTCCTTACTCTGCCGGTCACGTGACCCAAAATTCCCCGTCGTAGGGAAATCCGGTTAACCGCGGTTAGTTAACCAGCTTCGAGCAAACGGGCCCTGGGGGGTGAAGTGACATAAGGGGGGGTCACGTGACCTTGGGAGGTCACGTGACGATGCGGATGATGTCATCAGTGAACTCACTGATGACGTCATCCGTGATGATGACGATGACGATGCGGATGCCGGTGACGTCATCAGTGACGTCATTGATGACATCATCAGTGATGATGACGATGACAATGCGGATGCCGGTGAGGTCATCAGTGACGTCACTGATGACGTCATCAGTGACGATGACGATGCGGACTCCGATGACGTCATCAGCGATGATGACGATGCGGATGTCGGTGACGTCATCAGTGACGTCACTGATGACGTCATCAGCGATGATGACGATGCGGATGCCGGTGACGTCATCAGTGACGTCACTGATGACGCCATCAGTGATGATGATGATGACGATGCGGATGCCGGTGAGGTCATCAGTGACGTCACTGATGACGTCATCAGTGACGATGACGATGCGGACTCCGATGACGTCATCAGCGATGATGACGATGACGATGCGGATGTCGGTGACGTCATCAGTGACGTCACTGACGACGTAATCCGTGATGATGACGATGACGATGTGGATGCCGGTGACGCCATCAGTGATGATGACGATGACGATGCGGATGCCGGTGAGGTCATCAGTGACGTCACTGGTGACGTCATCAGTGACGATGACGATGCGGATGCCGGTGACGTCATCAGTGACGATGACGTCATCGGGGAGGTCACGTGACCTCGGCAGGGGGCACGTGACTTGCAACAAAATGGTGAGTTGGGCCAGTTGGTTCATAATGGAAAAAGACAAGCGCCGAAAGACCAGGACAAGGTAAGAAGACGACGACACAAGGCGCACTCGCAACTGAAGCACCCCCAGGGTCACGTGACCCTGGGGGTGGTCACGTGACCTCGGGGGGTCACGTGACCTCGGGGTCACGTGACTTTGGGTGTCACGTGACCTTGGGGGTCACGTGACCCTGGGGAGGGGTCACGTAACCTCTGGGGGTCACGTGACCTTGGGGTGACCTTGGGGGCCACGTGACCTTGGGATGACCTTGGGGGTCGCGTGACCTTGGGATGACCTTGGTTACGCCGACGCCGCTCAAGCCGGGAACGGGCCCCTAAGAGCTGCGCTCTAAAACGAGCAGCGTTCACCCCTCAACTCGCAGCCAGAACAAGCGGCCACGTGATCTGGAGCCGATTATATGCCGCCAGTGTTGATCATAGGCACGCGCTGGGGTTGGCAAAGCGCAGGACACGCGCTGAGTTCCAGACATTGTTATGGCTCGGCTGTTGTCGTCGTCGCAGCGATTGGACACGGGCCACTACCCGAATGCTTCTCGAGCTAGCAATTATCACGAGCCCAATATAGGAACTCTTAAATTTTTCGTGCTTCGATTCATTTCTTCGTCCAAGTCGTTTTATCAATTACCTATTCTTTCCCTTTCTTTCCATCATGGGGTAGCCAACAAAGACAAGGCCCAAGGCTTGCGCGTAGATAGCTCGTAGATAGGTAGGCCGTAGTACTGAATGTTTGACGTCACCTAAAAGAGGCCTATTTGGAGATCCCACAGGACACTCTTGCCGCGTATGCGTTCGGCTATGACTAGTGTTAAACTAGTGAAAGCACAAGTCAAAGCAAAATTCTGACACAGTAATGTTGTCTAGTCTGTGTCTCGCGTTGTCCTCTTCTAGGTGATGATCAACCATTAGCACTACGGCCTTGCCAGATATAGGAGGAGTTCTCCCGGGTCAGCCTCTTTGTCTTCCTGTTCTACAATGCCCTCTTTTCGTAATTTAGGCGCACGTGACTCTCCTTGATTTTAAAAGTACCCTGAGGAGAATTCTGAAATAATCTGAATATGGCGATAACTCACTCTGTGAGTTATCGCCATATTTAGGCTCGAACACACCTAGGTCATCTACGACGATGGGAGGAGCATTGTTACGTCAGCCAGGACGACATGTGATCAACGAAAATGCGACATTTCGTTGAGATTGCAGCGCTGTTATTACAAAATGGGTACGCTTTTGTAGGTTATAAAGGGAAATAAGAGTAGTCGAAAAATGTTATTCTTCGCGGAAAGGAAACATAATATTGCAATGATTGTCTACAAAACAGCGCTCTATGTTTTTTTTTGTTTTTTTTCTCGAGGGAGTAATTTGTTTAGTCGCCAGCTCTCGACCGCGCGCTCGCTGGGTTGAGTCGTAGTCCGGGCTGTATGGGCAACGAGCCGCTCGCATTCGAGATATCACTCCGTGGTTCCACCGGACGGAGGAGCAATGATCCTTCGCTTGCTACTGGTTGACGGTGTTCTTGGTTTCGGAACATGCTCCTCCCATTACCAGAGATGCACGTCGGAGTGCTGCGATCTTTGATTGTTTTTTTAATAGAAAAATTGGCAGCGTGTTGTCATGATTTAAGGATTTCTAATATGCCTAGAGCCAGCAGAGTGAGTTATCGCCATATTTAGGCCATCTCGTGGCCGTGGCCATAGGGATTTCTAATATGCCTAGAGCCAGCAGAGTGAGTTATCGCCATATTTAGGCCATCTCGTTGCAACACCAGAAGACGCAGCACTGATGCTGTGCTAACTCGAAGGTAGCCTTAGCACAGATGCAGCGTTGTATTGCTAATGTAACTTGCAGCCAGCACTGCGTCACCAAGCTTAGCGCTGTTTCCAGTTCTTACTTAAAGCGCTGATGTAGTGCAGTGGTGTATGTGTGAATGGCCATTTAGGGATGCCCCCAATATTCGAGGTTGTCGCAACATTACATCACGTCCTCAAGGTAGTGTTGTAGATGTTACCAAAAAAAAAAAGTAGTGAAATACGCTATTCGTTACATGCGAAATAGAGGAACGCCTTACCGACTTACGCTACCTCAAAATATAAGAAACGCATTTTCATTACCGTTACCCAAACAAGTAACCCCAGGTTACTTTTCATTTATAAATTAACAATAACAGCGTTTTTTTTTTGCGACAGCGTTTTTCGACATTGGAACGAAGGGCATGGGTGTTATTTTTGTTTAAGTGGTACTTTTTTTTACGTGTTGAAAGTACAGGCAAAATGTCGAAGGCATGTGGAATGAGAGCAATAATTAATGGCTTGGCGCTTCAAAAGTTTTAAAACCAGAACAGTGCGGTAGGCGTGATGACCCATGGACAAGTAAGAGATTATACTTGGTTTGAGCTTAACTCCACTAAGTCAGCGCTACGAGCGAATGGGACTAATCAAGCAGCGTCAAAAGCACGACTCATTGGACCTTTTTATTTTTGTTTATGATTGGTCCAACCATCATAGAACACGTACAAAAACACGAGGGACACCGTGATGGTTCCCTTTTGATGTTCTCTCATTGGTCCCATCAGCTCTTAGCGTCCGCTGCGTCTTAACTTTAGGTAAAATGATGTAAAGAAACGCGAACAAATATAAGTGGACTTTTTTCAGCTTTTGCGAAAAAGACGCAACGAGGAACGTAACAACTTTACCCGTTACTGGAAATACGTAACGTAAGTACGCTACCCGTTACTAATTTGAGAAAATAATGAGTATGTACATTACCTAGAAAGTAGCACGTTACCGGTAACTCCGTTGCTTATAACGAGTTACAGTCAACACTGCCTCAAAGACAGTGTTCAGATCTCAACGTGCGGCCAACTTTTTGTCTCTGCAGGTTTTGAAGACTGCTGCCATGACGTCGACCTCCGCCACCAACGCCACCTGGGGACCGGAGTTGGACGTCACCCTGGGGGGCGAAGAGGGTCTCCCGGAAGACTACGACTACGTTGAGTCCTCGACCCACTACGATCTCGCCGACCTGGTGCCGACGGCGGCCGTGTACGGCTCCACGCTGCTCCTCGGCCTGGTGGGTAACCTGCTCATAGTGTACACGGTGGCGAGGTTCCAGCGCATGCGCAGCATCTCCAACATCTTCCTCGCCAGTCTGGCGACGGCGGACCTCCTCATTGTCCTGCTCTGCATCCCCGTCAAGGTCAGTTGGAGCGACTCGGATAGACTCTGGCCCGTGGTGCCCAGACCGCGCATTTCGGACAACTGCCTTTAGCGTCCTTAAGTCCCAGTGCATTGGAAGGTCCACAAAATGGAAATCAGCCCCCGTGTTATGGTACGGCTTGCCGCGATCCTGGCGGTCGTTTGTGGAAGCACACGGGAAGAAAGCGAGCGGTTGCAGACATAGAGTGAATGTAGTAATCAGGAGGGAAAGGCCCCATGCACCCGGGCGGCTTCGGAACGGCGGGGCATATAGACGCGGACATAGGCGGTCCCAGTTGATAGTCCCGATGGGTCCATATCATTGGTGACGCCTTAATATGCACCAAGAAGCAGCAAAACAACATCTGTAAGTACTGTACCTCGTTCTTTTCTATAGCTTACTTTGTAGGAAAACACTGGAATCGCGATTCGTTCAAAACTAAATAAGGTTGACAAGCGCTCGAGCAACTTCAGCCGGTTGCGGCAAAACGAACACGCCTAACCTTTTGTCTGATATCTTTCTTTGTTCTTCTTTCGCTCTCTTTGTCGTTCTTTCTCTCGGGAGCGGCGATGTCAGCAGCGCTGACGATTTGCCACGTTCTGCTCCCATCGAAGTAATCGGGGGCTCGAGGCGCCCTATATAGTCGGCCTAAATTGAGAGCGTTTCCAATTGCTCGATGGGGGTCATGTCGTTTATGGTCGGTGTTTGCAATAGAAGGATGCAAACAGGAAGCGAGAGCGTCCATTGCCTGCAAGAGTCTCCGCCTTGCTTCTCATCTCCGCACATTATCCTCGTTTCCGCGCGACAACGCGGATGCGAACGCGAACACAATTTTAGTAGGAAGCGTCCGCCATTAAATTTCGAGAGTTTTGCATGGTTTCAGTCTTCCGCTCTCAAATTTAGGCTCTATACTGCCCAACCTGTGCCTCTGGAGCAGGGGTGTAAATACGAGAGCAAGAACGTGACAAATTCTGGCCGCTGACATCAGCAGTCCAGAGAGAAAGAATCAGAAAGACAGCAGCAGAAGAGCGGGGAAAGAAAGCAGACGAAAGATTAGGCGTTTTCGTTTTGACGCGTCGAGCTGAAGTTGCACTAACGCTTGCCACTTCATTTAGTTTGATACAATATGAGATTCAGATGTTGTCCTGTAAAGTGAACCAGAAAAAATAAGGTACATACCTTAAAGGTGATATTATGCTGCTTTTTTGAGCACATTAAGGCGTCGACAGTGATTTGGGCCCATCGGGACCGCCAACTAGGTCTGCTTATGTCCGCTTCTGTGCCCCACAGTTCTCAAACGACCCAAATGCATGGGACCTGTCCTTCTAGATTATTATATTAACTTTATGCTCTGAATTTTTTATGAACAGACGAGCTGTAGAGCGAGCCACACAAAGTATAGTATGCACACCTCTACCGCCATGCACACCTTTACTGCTGCGCCACCATCAGGATTGTGAAACACCACGTTGGCAGGCAGAAATTGAGCAAACAAAAATGAAGACATAACAGCGGTAGTTTTAGTTCAAAACGGCTACGAGTTTCGAATTTTGACGTAACGCGAACGCAGTGGCAGAGTCTCAATTACAAAGGATTTCCTCTCCCATCGCTCGCAAACTCGATTTTGACAGGACTCCTACCTTCACGATGACGGGAATGCTATAGGTTGAGGATGTCCCCCGCCCGAAACGCAGAAATCCCATTTACGCATTCCATCCATCATACTCATGCGTTAATTATAAAGTCGCCGAAACTTTCCTTGAGCACCGCATTCTACAGTTTCCGAGAGACCTGAAGAGTCTAGCCAAATTAGCTTTGTGATTGGCTTATGCAAAAGCCATTAGATAAGTTACGCTTAGAGTAGCGGCACTGCATTCCTGGATGATGTCGCGGTGCTTGATACTCAGTTCAGAGTGGCCAGAATTAGTAATCGTTACAATTAGGAAATTCAATTTTTTCATCTTAGGATAAGTGGACAGAAAGCTCAGACGATAGCGATATTCTCTGTCGCGGACTGTTGTAACATTTCTGGATTACGAAAAACCGTTTCCTGCAATTTTATATACAGTTCTAGATAATTGGCAACCATAACTTTAAGCACCAAAAAATCTAACAGACGAGGAACTCGGCTGGTCTTGGCTAGGCACTTGGCGGCCCAGCAGAGATAGCTTTTTGGCAAGCCCTCGCCGGAACTTCCGGCGAGCGGCCCCCGTTGTAAGGGGGTCGCCATTAAATATAATCCAATCCAATTCAATAGCTGAATTGTGTTTTTTTTATAAGCGTAGGTCATCGAGAGCCCTATAGCTTATGCCAGCCATTGTGACGACGGGCTAAGAAGAGTATATTGTATGTGAAACGTATACGCGGAACAGCTCGGAACAGCTGTCAAATTATGGCCAGTCTGAAGGTGAGAGGCGCGATGGTTTTCGCTAGGGACTTCAATACCGGGTAGTGATTGATCAATCCCACCAAAAGGGAATGTCCGCCCGTTTGACAGTGGGCTAGCATATATTGGCTGCGTCAGTTCTTTTCGTATAAATTTGATTTGATCACATGGTGCCGCCATATTGATGGATGGATGGATGCATGCATGAATATGGTTGAACAGATATAATAAAGCTGGGCTCTCCTTTGTTCAGCCATTGCTTTTGATATATTTCCCCCAACATATGTAGCTCGCTAACGGTTAATGAAAACAAAAATTGTAATCTAATGTATGATAACTGGATGAATTTTGAGTTGAGTTAACTTATAGAACAAAGATTGATGGGGTACAGTATCGAAGGCTTTGGCAAAACCAATGAAAATAACATCAGAAGTTTTGAAAGAATGAATGCTTTCGTGAAAATTAGTAGTGAATTGAAAATGTGGTGCTTCACACACATAACAATTCAACCTTTTTTTTAAGCCATTTTGGTTAGTGCAGATAAATAGTTAATGACATGGGAGTACATTATATATTTTACAGTTTTACATAGTATACTTGTCAAGGATATTGCTTTCTAATTATATACACTATATTTATCTCCAGGTTTAAACATTGGCAACACTTACCTAAACTTCCAGTCCGTCGGAGGCCTACTAGGTATATGTTCTACTCACTGCCTAAACATAACAGAAAGCAAATAACAAGATATTGCCCAAATTATGTTAAGAAGTTTAGAACACATCTCGTCTTTTTCGAGTATAGAGCTAAGGAAAAGTCGTTGTTTGGTGTACTTCCGCAAATACACCACGAGAAACAAATATATTCAGGATCACAATGAAGACAATGCTAAAGCAAAGATAGTACACAACACAAAAACGTATAAATTAGTTAGTAAACATCAAACTGTCAGCAGGCGGCGTAACTCAGATGCTGATGCACAGATGTCGAGTAACTATAAATGAACATTGCTGTGAGAAATATAACAGGTTCACATATTACAGTAGGCGAAACACAGGATGAATGACATGGTAAAGGAAACTGTTTCTCGGTAAAGACAGACACTTAAAAAATACCAATGTAAAAATGGCTGTCGATAGGTGGTGGGAGAGCTGCTGTCCGTTATCTTGATAAATGTTAGACAAGGTTCACTCTTGTTTGTTGTCCAACCCAAAGTTTTTTTGGGGTTAAATTTGAATACATTCAGGAGGTCACTCATGCAATACTTTTTTGTTGTGCCTTCCTAATGTTTTATTTGTATTCATTGTACGACATTATATTTTGATTAATGTGTGACAAATTCGCTGAACTTCGTTTGGTAAAACAAACGTTTTCTTTTATGGAGAATCTCTGCTGTTTTAGGAGACCACAGGCGCTCAGCATGTTCTTTTAGCGCAATTTCAGGAATGAAAGCGGATTCCATCCTTTTAAGCTTTGTTTTCAGCGTATTCTAGTTCGCATATTGCGGTCTTTTATTAATATAGCGTAGGTATCTGGACGCAAAATTTGGAAAGATATAACACGGACGGTCTCGTCGATCTTAGCCTAGTCTTAAATTCCTTTTTGTGTCGTGACTCCTTATTTAATACTTAGCATAATTAAAAAAATAAAATAAAAATAAGGCTCCAATTTACGCTTTGAAGGTGGTTGGACAGCGAAGGTGTGGTATCACCTGCAATAATTGCCCACTGCACTATAGACCCTTTTTATGGCAAACGCCACCAGGTAGATCTCCGGTTTTTGACGTCCCAGAGAGCTTCCAGTTTATAAAAACAATTAACAATGGCCACCTTAGCACCGCTGCTTCATATATAGGTGATACGTTTAACCACAAATTCTCCAGGGGAACGCCAAAAGAGCGAACGAGCGCGAGATCGGATAAAATGCATCGAGTATTCTCGTAGACCGACTTGGCTCCTCCAAGATGTAATATTGTACAGCCAAAGGCCCTGGTTAAATATCCTACTTTGTTGTCCGTGTACCATTTATGCTGTCTAGCACCGGTAACATAAGCAAGCTCAACAGGCTTGCAAAGACGGGGCGACCGGAAGTTGTTTGGGACGCAGGCGGCAGTTCATGTTTTTAAACAGCGAAAGGGTCTATACCAAATGATTGCTAAAAAAAAAGTAAATGAATTGTACCAAGACGTTTTTTTTAATATATATATATATATATATATATGGAATACTTCATACGGTATACCGTTGCCGCGGCAGCTTATGCAACCGCTATCCTTACCGAGAAATGCATGCGGGGAACGCTACGTGCTTATCATCTATCACGTAGTTTTGACACTTGTTTAGTGGTTTTCTTATTGAAACAACTGTCAAAACCACATGATGAGAGATAAGGCGTCGCGAACAGTAATAATGCGCGGGCGATGGCTTTCTGTAGACGGACACGAAAAAACCTGACCTACGGCTTCGCTCTAAAAAAATATATTCCGGTCACTGATTTGGTTAAGAACGTGAATCCTCCTAATATCATAGCGGGAAGATGTAAACAATCAGTTCAAAATAGCGTCATTTCTGGTGGGCCGAGTCACTACTTGGAAAAAACGAAAAACTCTCACTACATCAAGAAAGTCCGAGGCTTCAACTGGGTTCGATTATTATGCTTAAAGTTCTTTCCAGTTAACGCCAGGGTAGTTGAAATTAATGCCCCTGAATAAAAAAGGGAGCGACATCGCCTCCCTCCACCTCTGACGCGCACACCTTGTATCTTTATGTTCTGCTTTTTAACGCCCTCGCGTCGACGGTAGCGCCGCCTGGTTTGGCCCAAGATAGCAGGCAGCATACATCATAAGATGTCGCTACTTTTCCGTATGAAGAGGGTTTAGTTGAATTCCCCACATAACGTTGTACAGGAAAAATGGTAGCGATATAAGATACTTTCAATGCGTCATACAACCATTCTGAAAGACTGCTGTCGCATCCCGTTGGGCGCTAACAGGCGGAAAGACCAAGTACAGACGAAGTAAGGACCTGTCAGCGTTGGCAAAAATAAAACCTGAACGACGAGTTCAACATTTTTTATTTAAATACAATTCCTAGATTTATTTGAATGCATTAGAGTATCTTTATAGTACATACTAAACGAGGGGAAAAGTTAAGATGGCGGAGGCAAAACAGCAGCGGCAGCAGAGGGTGTCAAACACGCGACCAGCCGCAGGCCAAAATATTAGTTTCTGGCACTGCGGCTTCTACGTAACTCGAGAACAAAAAACCTGGGAAACATGAGGTTTGCGCCCTCCTTCAATTGAGAAATTCCCCCAAAACATATATTTTTTCTACCCTTTTAGCCTGCCCAATTTGAGATGAAACAACCCATACTTATATATTGTTTTACCACCGAACTATTTACCGGGTACAGACAAAGTGTAGAAAAATATTGCTTTTCAACCAATATCTTCCCTGTTACCATCCACCAGGTACGGACTACAGTCCGTACAATACGGCAAAAAAGTGGTTCTGAGATCGAGCTAATTAGCCGCATTCTTGAAAAATTCATCGTGATACTGAAAAAGATACAGGTCGATGAGTAACCAGTGTAGTGGCGTTAAGGAAACAATTATACAAGCTTGATCATGCGGACATAGACTAGCAAGAACAAAATGGGTGATAGGTCTTCCACAAAACAAGATGGCGGCGTCTGAACGGTACCGCTTACCGAAGGTTCGCTCTCACTTCTGACACACGCCGTGAGATGGCGCAGCATAAGGAGAAAGGCCGCTAAGCGCCAAAGAGTTCGCTTTTGCGTTTTCCGCCCACCATCCCTGGATAGCTTAGTCGGCGAAACACTTGCTCAGAATCTCGGGTGGTGAGTTCAAATCCTGCCGAAGGACTCAACTCTTTTCCTAAGGTACCCTATGGGCGTAACGCTTTTCGGCGTCGGTTTTTCGTTACAGCCGGCCGTTACGGCCTGCTGTTACAGCCAAGCGTTACAGAACTTCATGAAAATTGTCTGATAAAACATTCTGCGTTAAAGTGAGTAGATTGGGATTGGATGATCGCCGTCCAGTTGCCACGATTGATTAGAGAATTAAGCTCAATGAACGTCTCGCAAAAATAACAAAACACAAAAAAATAATGAAAAAAAAAAAACGATGGAAAGTACAGAAACTGCAATCGGGCGTTCATTGCCGTCATCTCGCACCATAATGAGTGAGTTTTAGTATTGCGCATGGTCTCTCTTGACCTCAGAGACCCTCCTTCAAACGGCTCACTGTGACAATTTACCTATATTTATGCCACGTTAATTATACATAAAAAATGCCTTCCTTAGAACGATATTCTTCAAACGTTTAAAAGGATTGTTGACATGAAACGAGTCGACTATACGCACTTTATTTGACCTTAACGTATACTGCAAATGCAAAGAAGGCTCTAAGTGCCTGCTCCTCGCTTTTAAGCGTGTCTCGGCTACACGAACGATCGAAGCACCGGAGGAGCAAACAAATCTATATACCTGCTTTCGCAAGCAGGCAGGCATAAGGAGACTGTACAATCGCGCTAAATGAAGGCTCTTCGACGAAAGATTCTTACACTATAAAAAAAAAACAAAAAAAAACAATAAGGTAAGAGGCCTCTTTACACGGCGGAAGTTTAGTTTCTTGTAAAAAAGCGCTTCGTTTTCTATTTTGAACTAAACTTTCGTCGTATAAAGAGAAGTCCAAATTTTACGAAGCATCTGGATTTGACGCTTATTGTGTCAAGAGATTGATGCCACATGCATTCACAAAAAGAAGCCCCATCCCCTCAAAATTTTTGACAATAGAGACGGCTTGCTTAGAAAATTAACTTGCCGGCAGGAAAACCCAAAGCATCAAATGGCGTTTCTTTTTTTTTTCTTTTTTTGTTAAATCGAGGTTGTTTTGATGAGAGAAAGAGGCTGATATGTCGGCCCGTTTTATTACTGAAAGAGAGTAGGGCGTCATCACTTACCGGTCGCGGGGAATACCAAGATTTAGAGTAGCATACGTACATGGTTTGCTTCACACATATATATAAATATAAGTAAAAATATAGAAATAGCGTTGTAGTGTATATATCCCCAAATCTGAAACGCGGTTCGGGCTCGGCAGATGCAGAGTGCTGACGGCGCTATTTCTTTACGTACTACACAAAGCTTTTTTGCACGCTATTCTAAATCCTGATTCTGTTTTCGAAAGGCTGGTTCGGAAACACTATTATTTGAAAATGTATCCTCCAGAAGAATGTAATTTATTGGCCACTCGGGGCAGCGTTTATTAGAGATAGGCCCAGTGCGAAGGATTTATAATAGCCTTCTGCGACTTTTCTAATCTTCATATATATATATTTTCTTTTCTTTTCTTGCGAAAAACGAAACTAAATAATGTTTTGTAGACTCAATAGATGGATAGTCGTGTGATGGCCATCGATATTCGGATTCTAATATGCAGGTTTGCGATCTATGAGAGATTTTTTTCAGAAGGAAGCATGCAAGAGGCCGAGTTAAGAGCAAGTTGAACTCTTAGCTTCACTCAGGCAAATGACAGAAAAATAAATTAGCATGGGCTATGAATACTCCCTTATTTTTCTATAAAATAATAATATGCGTTCGCTAAAACCTTTTCTTTCTCATAATATTCTAACCATTTTCATATGTGCATGGGCATGCAGGTGTGCACCAGGTATTCACCAGATTTACCTGTAATTTCAGTCACTTTTGGTGCATTATTAAATAATCAGGCATTTAACAATGAAGCAGCTATGAACAATACTAAGCTTCAAAATGGAATAGTATAAAAATGATTTTTGATCACATGCTTTTAAATTTTATTAGTTTCATTAAAAACCGAAAACAGTGTTGTTTTTCTGTTACGGCAGTGTAAAGTGTTCGGAAGGTTGGCATTTTTAGGGCGAAATACTTTTTTGTTGTTTTGCAGCAATGCCCTTCCCCTCCACCCACCCCCCTTTTTTTTAATTGACACGTATGTGCATTTTTTAATCGCTTGTTTTTTTGGAGTGCACTCTTTATTCTAGTTGCTGAATGATTTTGCGCTGTACGAAGAGTGAAGGTAACGACAGAAATGAATGTTATCAAAATAACACAATGGTAAAATTGGCGCAAACAAACAAGAAAGCATAAAAATAAAAAATCATACATTAAAAAAAATTAAACAAAACAACGAAATGAATATGCGAATGAATGTATGAATTTCCCAAAATTAAGACATACGAAAACATGCTAACAATATCACATAAATACGTGTAGTTAAAAGAAATGCTAAAACACACCTACAACACCCAAACATTTAAAGAAAAAACCGGATAACACAAAGAAATAAACGAACATACACAAAAGCAACGGAACCGATAACGAACGCCAAAATATCCGAGCCAGCTCAAAAAGAAAGAAAAGCAAAAAAAAAAAAAAATTGAAGATGCATAAATTTTTATATAAAGCAACAAACCCATAAAAAACGAAAAAGAAAAGAAAATATTATTGTGCCGTGTCTCCTTGGCTTCCAGTTCGGCCAGCTGTTCTCCTACACGTGGACGCTGGGCGAGTTCGGCTGCAAGTTTATCCTGTACGTTCAGCACGTTTCTATGATCTGCTCCGTGCTCAACCTCACCTTCCTCAGCATCGAGAGGTAAGACAGACCAGCCTACACCAAGCTAAACACTCTGAGTCGGGTGGAGGCTTGCGCCACTTAGCCAATGATGCCACATACTCACTAGCTCAATCTACGCGGAGCGCTAGTTCGCCTGCTTCTTTTGCAGGGCGTTGCGATTTGGTCAGAACGGTGAGCATTGATTGGTTTTGAATGAAGGATGTTGGGTAGACCTCAAGGCAGCTTGCTTTGAGGTCTACCCTTTATCCTTCAATCACGTCCGATCAAAGCTCGGCGTTCTGACTTGATCACAACGTGAGAAAACATGATTGCGGTTTAAGACAAGGACAGAGAAAGAACAGACACCACAAAGCGCTAACTTTCAACTGATTTAATTCAAGACCCTCAGCGTAGATACACACTGCGTCACTGCACAAGATCTCAACCAATCTGTGGCCCTGCCACGGATCGCAGGTACACTATCTCTTTTTCCGCTAAGTCAATTGAAGCCACATTGATACAACACGTGCCGGAACTATTCATGGCGTCCGCCTCAATTATCTCTCTAAACCTCGCCTCAATTATCTCTCTACACACAAAGATAAGACTGTTAGAGAGATAATTGAGGTGGACGCCATAGATAGTTCCGACACGTGTTGTATCAGTGTGGCTTCAATTGACTTGGCGGAAAACGAATTAGTGTACTTGCGATCCGTGGCGCGTCACGGATTGGTTGAGATGTGGTGCGGTGACGCAGTGTGTATCTACGCTGAGGCTCTTGCATTAAATCAGTTGAAAGTTAGCGCTCTCTGGTGTCTGTTCTTTCTCTGTCCTTGTCTTAAAGCGCAATCATGTTTTCTCACGTACAATACCAACTCGTCCGAGGATCAGCACTTGTCATCACAACCCCTTACAAAAGAAGCAGACGAACTTGCGCTGCGCATGGACTTCTATTGGCCCACATATGAAGTGCACAAATTTTCAGTGGTTTTGCGCATCTTTTTATTACCATATGCGGGTGATTTCATCTCAAATCGCGCAAGAAAAAATGATGGGCCCTTAAAACGTTTTGGCAAAAATATGTTGTTGGAAAATGTGCGACTTGAACAAAACTGATAATAAAAACTACGGAAATCTTTTTTGTTCTTTAATGAGGGCTTCGAAAGGGCAGAAGGTATGTCTTGCCACTTTTGCACTTTTACGATTGACACATTTTGAAGTGTTGAAACTTTTAAATTTTAACCTTTTTTTTTTACAACAAATACAACTTTTTTATTTCTTAAAGACTTTGTATAGAAGGGTTAAGGATCTCTAGAAGCGTTTTTGTTATTTATTTTGATTACTAAAAACTCTTGGATCTTGCACCTTTGACAATATTAGGCCAAACCTGAATCAAACTAGCCTTGGATGTACAATTCTTTGATGCACAAGAAACATATTAAAGGGAAGCTTGTATGTGAGCCTTTTTAAAGATTACAATATTGTTAATTTAGGTATAGTTCATCGAAAAAAATTCACTGTAAACTTAAAAAAAGAAATGAAAACACAAAATTCAACGTAATTAAAAAAAACGTGTTCCCTACTTTTTTCAGTTTTTTATATATAAAAAGCTTCTGATGCGTTCTTATATAGTAAATAAAATTTCTTTGACATATATGCTTTCGTCATATAAACATGGCGCTTGAAAAGAAGTCATATTTGTACCTCCATTCTAAGGTGAAACAATATGGGCCGTTACAAATTCTTTCACGTAATTAATATATGCTTGGAACATGGCTTTAATATTTATGATGCACCTGATATACCATTTAGTAAAAAGGAGGCATGACTGGCTTGTTATGATTAAATAAAATGCTCATTCATATGTCCAGTTCGCTTATAAAATCTCAGGATTCACAACTTTTCTTGCAATAACCCTTCTGAAACGACTTCTTTTATTTAACAAGAATAAGAAATAAGTTTCACAAACCTTTATTGAACAGGCAGTGAAGGGGCGAGATAAATTATTTTCAGAAACCCAGCGGGCCGAGTGAGAAATTCTGCTTCTTTAATGCGGCCGCACTTTCATGTAGACTTGAGAAGCTCGTTCAAAACTTTTTTTTAGGCAAATACAAAGATTACCGATAAACAGGGGAAATACCTAACATCACGTAGCATCTTTAGTATTATAAGCTCACAGTAACGCTTATGGTGACAAAAAGTGATTTTTAGTGAGGTTAACATTATCTTGAGGATTCACTTTTTTTTTTATTTTGTAATCGCCACCCTCAAAAAACCGTTTATATTTCGAGCCTTCATTTACACGCGACATGATTGGATGTTTTTCACAAGGCTCAAGGAATTTCATTCCTTTTTCATCGTGTCGCGGTATTGGGCGAAGCATGCTGCTTCACTTTTAAGGAGTGCGATTCCAGGTACCTTCGGGGCCACTACAAGAGAAAAATTATCAGCACTTTCGATGGTTTCCAGTTCCGGCGACCTGAGGTTGTGCAAGGAGGCTTGGTACTTAAGGACTTTCCCCACGCCAATATACGCCTTTTTGCCGTGTCCCGCGTAGCTTAAAAACAACAACAACAACAATTTGTTTATTTTTTGTCTTTTCTCAATCTCGCACAGTTGAAACCAATTTTTGAAATGACTATATATATAGCCCCCACGTTGGAGATGTGGAAAAGTTTTGTAAGTATCGGAATGGGGAGGTTTCTTGCAGCCACCCTACAACTGTGCGCAGAGCGGACGGTGCGTGTGCTGTATCGTGAACAATGTCGTCTCTGACAACTTTGAAGCTGTAAATTGTGCGCTATGTTGTTGCTAAGCAGTTGAAGATAGACGCGATTTGATTCTCCTAATGAAAGCATTGTACCGCTTGCGGAAGAAGGACGCTCCAGTTTTCTGCAAAATCAAAATGCAATACGATGATACGAGCCTTTAAATGCGACTTTTTTTAGTTTATAGCAACACACTGAGCAAGTCAGGTGAATTGATGGGGGAGGTACGTTGCAGTGTTGTACGGAACGGTGTTCCAAGGAACGGCGTTCCTGGAACGCGTTACTTTTAGAAGGAACGAAGGAACGCCGCCGTTCCATTTTGCACTGATAGAACTGGAACGGGAACGCGTTACATTTTTACTGGAACGGAAAAAGTAACGGCGTTATTTTTTTTCGTTCAGTAGAGTAATTTTTTATTTTATTTCTGAAAGGGAAATTCTAAAAGTATAAAAACAATATCCATCTACACGAAGAGCAGGATTTCGTTAACTTTTTGGTTATATACCATATGGTTCATTTTGTGTGATACTCGCTTGGTGACAGTCGGGTGCAGGAGAGCTAGTGGACATCGATTTTTTTTTAGTGCCTGAGACTGCGGTGCAAAAAGCCAAACTTTTAGTCGAAGGAAAAGACACAGAAAGAGAGACGTTTCAAACTTAGCTACTTTCTTTGGTTCCACGAATCCTCGTACACCCAGAAATCTGAGACCGACTGCAGCCATCACTGAAGTTCCACAAATAGATGTACAGTTACAACAGAAGAGCAGGTTATCCGGTATCGAACCCACCCTTGTATCCCGAATATTGGTGACATGAAACATACACAAAAATCAATTTTTATTTCTTCTCCCCTTGTTCCCTATCTTCAAACTGAACAACGAGTCCAACCTTCAGAAAGAAGGACTTGTACTTTTCAAGACTGACATTCCAACAGCCCTACCATCTTCACTTGCTCCTCTTGCGGACAGCAACATCAAGAAGCAACTGTTGTTATGTTCGAACAAGTGACTTTGTTAGATTGAAACGCGTGAGGTTTTTGTGAAACGCTCGTGCAGTGTGGGGTAACAGTACATTTGGCTGGTCTGAATCACCCACCACAAAATAATGTTAAAAGCTGAGATTTTTAAAGCTGAATATATCAACAAATGAAACACTGCTTCCGCTTGTCTTCTTCTCTTGGTGCCTTTTCACCACTGCATTTAAATTTGTATGTTGCCATTTGATGGGATAGATAAAAAACAACAAAAACAACTTTGTTCGATCTAATTGCATATGGTAATTGTCAAAATACAAATGTAACGTATACGTGACGATACGTTCCGTTTCTTTAACTGTAACGGGAACGAGTTCCTTTTTCACATATGAAACTTATAACGGGAACGCGTTCCAAACACAGAAGGAACGAGGAACGAGCTTTTGTTCCATTTTTTGAGGAACGTGTACAACACTGGTACATTGTTACGCACTTCCTGAGCTCATTGCAAAATGCGTTACTTCCCAATAATTGCTATAGTGGTTCGCTAAATTTCCGCCAAACTACACTTATTTATTCGTCTTCCTTCATTGACAACGATGCCAGGGTTAAGCCATCTACTTTTGGACATACCTTGCGGGTCAGCAAAACACACTCCTCAGTTGGGTTAGCACACGGGCAAAGTCTCTAATGTCTTTAAGACTAAATTCTTGGTCGCACCCGTTTGATATTGCTGTCAGAAAAAATAGTTTGTTTCTTCCTCTCTTGGACGTAGTAAACTGTGCCTAACAAGCCTGGATGAGATAACATATTCTTTGTCAGCCTAGAACCTGCCAGCGAAGCAAAACGGAAGGGAAAATCATGCCACTGTCGAAGGCAGCGGCAGGAGAGCTTTAGCTCTGGTAGCGCCTCCTGGAGTCACAGCTTGCCTATAGCTTCTACCTTTCTGTCACGCGCATGGGCAGTCAGATGATAGTCGTTTATAGCGTTCACAGTGACCCTATCTGTACTAAATAAACAATCACGACAGTTTTCTAAAAATATAGTGTGACACTCATCGAGTTAGAAAGGGCGGCATGTCTATGTCCCTCTCGTCGAGGGGATAGCCCTTTCGTTTCCCCTTTCCGAGGAAGAAAAATAGCCCACGTGAACCTTAAAAGTATTTATATCTGAAGAAGAAAAAGGAAATATAAAAAAATAAAAAAGGTTAGGGAATACGCGTACATTGCAGAAAAGCGAAAGCAAGCGCCGAAGCAGCGAGATGCTGTAAGAACTGATAGTTTCACCCCAGATCATTCT